AATAAAAAGGAAAGGATTGCAAACAAATTAACTACCCGATCCTCTTGAGCTTGTAGATTAATTGAAACAAGCTACTTCAAGTTGATGAATTACAATCACTCTTGTGTACAAAGGAAGGTTCACCTCCTCCTTTGCCAACTGCAGCACTCGGTCAAGTCAGGACGTTTTACTATCCCTCAGGACAACCCTCACAGAGCTACACTCATGAAAGATTCACTCACAAATGAAAAGCTTACAATGAACCTCACACCACTAAGACTACAAATATTCTTTTGGAGTATTTTCTCACTAAAATCTCTCTAGATCTTTTGTATCTTCAGTGTGCCAAAGTTGTTTGAAGTGTCTGACCAACCACTATTTATATAGGACCAAGAAAGTGCCTCATTAATGCTTCCAACGGATAGAAAGTAGCTGAACAGTCAACTAGCCGTTGGTAGTGTCGGACGTCCGATAGCCCTGTTTTATGCGTCCGACAGCAGGCAGTGAGTTTCAGAGATTTTCTTCAATTCTTTCGGACGTCCGGTGCAAGCTCTTTGTGCGTCCGACAGCAAACAAACAGATTTGAGAAATTATCTTGTTTCTATCGGACGTCCGGTAGAGACATATTCAGCGTCCGATAGTATAGTTTCGTCGACTTCGAAGGATCCTATCGGACGTCCGAAGCATGCGTCCGAAGTTGTGCAATGATTATCGGACGTCCGATCCTGACTTCTTGAGCGTCCGACAGTTTCAGCATACTTTGTCATCTTTCAATTGTACTTGATCTTTGGAACTAATTTGCTTCATAACTGAATAGATCTTTTAAGAGACATTAGTAACATCCATTTGTTTTGTAAACATCAAAAGATAGGGATCAAGATCAACAATCTCCCCCTTTTTGATGATGACAAAACAATGGATGGAAAGAAACAAAAATAAGTATAAGCTCCCCCTCAATCATTGCAACCAAAACTTTTAAGAGCCAAACTCATAATCTCAGAATAACTCCCCTTACACATTGCATCCATTTCTCCCCCTTTTTGTCATCATAAGAGTAAAAATCAACTACTGTAATCCAGCAACAATAACAGAGAATTCAATATTTCAAGAAAAAATAGAGAAATGACAGCAATCACAGCAAATCATCATGAGATCAGCATTATTCTTTTATCACTCTTTTTGACATCATATAGATTCAGTAGTATTCAAAGATATCAGCGAAAACTCAGATCAAAGTATCAAAAGAAAAAATATTATGAACAAGAATCACTGCAATGATTAGACAAAACCTCATACTTGTTAAAATTAGCATCATGTCTAACTATCCACATGCATTTCATGCCTCTTCTCATATTCTTTCTCACATAACAATCACTTTTCATGTGACCTTTTTGACAACAAAAATTACACATAACCAAAGAGTTATTTACATGAACAGGTTTAATAAATCTTACTTGTCTTCTCCTATGGATAGCAAACTCATTGAATTAGAATTCAACCTATTCTTTTGAAAACAGACTTGTTTCTTGTGTTTAAGCAACTCATTTAGACCATCCATTCTTCTTTTCAAATCACCTTGTTCCTTTTTGAACAAATCACAAAGCTTTGTTTTCTATCAAGCTCAAAATGTAAAGCAGTCTCACTCTCTTTTGAAGTAATCATTTTCAGCAATCAACTTTTTGTTTTGTTGAAAAAGATTTGCATTATCTCGAAGAAAAAACTAATTTTCTGTTTTAACTCCTTATTTCTAACATAAGATTCTTTCAAACTATCATGCAATTTTATAATGAAATGATTCAAGATCATCTCAGTCATCATCTTTCAAATTGAGAGTTAGAAGATGTTACCTCATCATCTCCAATGGCCATGAAAGCCAATTGAGCAGATTGATCTTCCTCTTCAATTTCACCATCGGAATTGCATTCATTCCATGTGAATTGAAATTTGTTTATTCTTGGTTTTCTTCCTTCTTTCTTCTTCATCACTGGACAGTCACTTGCATAGTGTCCAGGTTGGCCGCATTCAAAGCACTGATCAGTTTGCTTTTTGTTGAACTCTAGCTTCCCTTTGTTTCTCGAGTTGTTGAACTGATTTGGGAATGAATTGCTAGGTCCACCTTTTCTGAATCTCCTCTTGTTGAGTATTCGTTTGAAACTTTTGTGATGAGAGCGATATCATTGTCATCACCTTCCACATCTTCTTCATCTAGGGAGGCAGAATCATCTTCATCTTGTGAGGCTTTTAGAGCAATATTCTTTCGCACTTTTGCATCCTCTTCCTCTTGCACCTTAGTCTTAAGTTTCAGCTCATAAGAGGTAAGAGAATTAATAAGAGATTCAATAGGCATAGTATTCAAATCTCTAGCCTCCTCAATAGCAGTCACTTTATTTTCCCAATCATTGGACAAGGCATTCAGGATTTTTCTATTTTTCTCACCAAGAGAATATTCTTTTTCCAGCACCTCTAAATCTTTAATGAGATCATTGAATCTACAATACATTTGATCAACATTTTCATGAGGTTCCATCTTGAAAGATTCATACTTTGTAACTAGAATGGACTTCTTTTGTTCTCTAACATTCTCACTACCTTCATGAATTTCTTTCAGTTTGTCCCAAATTTCTTTAGCTGACTTGCAACCCTTGACTCTAATAGATTCATTTGAGTCTAATGCACAATATAACACATTCATGGCTTTTGCATTTAAGGTGAGATGAACTCTATCCACAGCAGTCAGTTCACTTCTTGTTTTCGGTTAGATGCATGAGTATTTTCATCTATAAGAGAGGCATCATATGGACCTTCACTAATAATAAACCACAATTCGATATCAATAGATTGCAAAAAGATAATCATTCTTTCTTTCCAACTCATATAATTTGACCCATTAAACACAGGTGGTCTAATAACAGAATGTCCTTCAAAAAACATAGCATTATTGGTTGTCATCTTTACTCCAAGCCGATTGAGCTTAATCTCAAGGAGACCAAGCTCTGATACCAATTGTAAGGATCGAAACAACCAATCGAAAAGTCGATAAGCAATTAAAACGAAACAATAAGTAAATAAAAGGAAAGAATTGCAAACCAATTAACTACCAGCTCCTCTTGAGCTTCAAACAAGCTACTTCAAATTGATGAATTACAATCACTCTTGTGTACAAAGGAAGGTTCACCTCCTCCTTGCCCCGAACTCCTCGGTCAAGCCAGGACGTTTTACTATCCCTCAGGACAACCCTCACAGAGCTACACTCATGAAAGATTCACTCACAAATGAAAAGCTTACAATGAACCTCACACCACTAAGACTACAAATCTTCTTTGAAGTATTTTCTCACTAAAATCTCTCTAGATCTTTTGTATCTTCAGTGTGCCAAAGTTGTTTGAAGTGTCTGACCAACCACTATTTATATAGGACCAAGAAAGTGCCTCATTAATGCTTCCAACGGATAGAAAGTAGCTGAACAGTCAACTAGCCGTTGGTAGTGTCGGACGTCCGATAGCCCTGTTTTATGCGTCCGACAGCAGGCAGTGAGTTTCAGAGATTTTCTTCAATTCTTTCGGACGTCCGGTGCAAGCTCTTTGTGCGTCCGACAGCAAACAAACAGATTTGAGAAATTATCTTGTTTCTATCGGACGTCCGGTAGAGACATATTCAGTCGTCCGATAGTTTCGTCGACTTCGAAGGATCCTATCGGACGTCCGAAGCATGCGTCCGAAGTTGTGCAATGATTATCGGACGTCCGATCCTGACTTCTTGAGCGTCCGACAGTTTCAGCATACTTTGTCATCTTTCAATTGTACTTGATCTTTGGAACTAATTTGCTTCATAACTGAATAGATCTTTTAAGAGACATTAGTAACATCCATTTGTTTTGTAAACATCAAAAGATAGGGATCAAGATCAACAATCTCCCCCTTTTTGATGATGACAAAACAATGGATGGAAAGAAACAAAAATAAGTATAAGCTCCCCTCAATCATTGCAACCAAAACTTTTAAGAGCCAAACTCATA